AACGTAGCATGATGCTTAAGGTATAGGATTCTTGATATAAGCGGTCTCCCTTTGATTTTCCATTAGATTTGTTTCGTGCTGGAGTCTCTTTTGAGTTAACTACATGGACGTGATAGTCGGCGACGTTACTTCTTTTAGGCGTTTGAAAACAACGATTAAGAAGGGAAATCTGCGATTGCGAAAAAAATGACCTCTTTCGGGATTTGAACCCGTGACCGTTTGCTGTCTACGCAGACGCTTTAACCAACTAGGTCATTGAGGCTTTGTTTCTTAACAGGAGTTTATTTCCGATAGTGTCTGTTTCCAGTGTCTGTTTTCAATAGTACAGTATACCAACAGTACCAAACTGCTTACTTTAACTTGGGCATTATTTCATGCTTTGAGGAGAAGATATTACTTGCGGATCTGCTGCCTAATTAATTTAAGTATATCCCAGTTTATTCATCAGTTTTATTACTGTATGAATAGTGTCAAATAGGAACAAATTGCAGTATGTTATCCAAATATGGCGTAAAATTACTGTTTGCTTTGCAAAAAGGCCATATTGTGCCTGTTATGTCACTGAAAACATGAGCGCGTGTGCTTGAGCGAAAATAACCTTAGATAAGTATAATTTGTCGGGCCTCTTCGAAGACTCTCAATTAGCGTATGAAAGCTTGTCCTTCTGCCCTCTTACGCAAGGACTATCTGACCTCCATCTTGTTAAGTTCCCAAGCTTATAAGGAAAGTATTTTTGACTGGCCATAATTATTTGGGGTTAGCGCCATTTTTACTTATTGAGTCCTATACTTAGGCTTACTACTATACCTTTGGGTGCCATTTATATATTATCATCTATTTGAAGAGGACATACACATTTTGTTTGGTTGAATTAGCAATGACGAATTAACATTTTTAGTCTGAAAACATGAAGGGATCTAAATTCTAAAGGCATGGATGTCCATGTCTGGCAGCTGAGGGTGCTTGTTTTCCCTGCCCTTCCGCTGACGCTCGCTTGAAAAGAGGTATGTTCGAGTTAGGAAACAGTTGAAATTAAAATCATTTTGAAATGTTTGTTTTTATTTTTGTTTTTTTGTTTTTATTTTTTCGTTTTCATAAAACGACCTACAGTACACACATCTATTGATGAGCTGAGGGTTTGGCTAATTGGTATGGTTCCTGCCTCTTGCACGTCAGGGCCCGGGTTCGATACCCGGCTCTGTGTCGAATATTGAATTCGGGTCTTTTATAATAACAAAAAACGCTCAGCTCCTCGAATAACCCTCTCAGGAGAGTTAGGCGAGTTAAGGACCATGTTTGTATTCGATTGATGTTTATTGAAGGCATTAATTTATGGCATTAATTTATAAGTTAGCACCGGACCTGCTTACAGGCATTGCCTTCCTTCTTTGTTTCGGTATTGTACCATAGGCGGTGGAATGAATGAAGTTTATTATTTATTATTATTTGGAATAAGCTTATGCTTTATACTATGGTGAAAATTATTATGGAAACAACAATTTTGTAGCAATGAGATTTTGAGCAGAATGTTTTTTGTGTGTGATTATACAAATTAACTGACTGGGTATAACAACCGTGGTTATTTTATCATACTAAATACATAAGAGTTCCATGTACATTTTATGAAAACCTGAAGTTCGATTACAATTATCAGCCATAACGGTTGTTACAACTATCGTGGGTTAACATAAATTGACTTTTTTATCTGGAGAAATTGTGAAAGAAACACATTTACATTGTCATATTATAAATAACAGTTATCTTATCTTATTTTATATATTATCTTTATTTCTGTGAGAAAAACTGTACAATATATCTTACTGTAGAAATACTTCTGTGAATTTGGTTGCTATTTTTGTCACTTAAATCCTGGAGGAAATAGTTTAGAAAAATAAGTTTAAAAAATCTATTTTTTCCATGCTTAAATTATGGAGTATTATACCTATATTCCTAAATCCAACCTACTACACAGTACCTTGTTTTTCTAACATTCTTGTACACTTGTAAGTATGGTAGACTATTCTTTGTAAGAGTATATTAATAATTAGGTGGTGGTGCCAGGTCAACTTATAGAAAAATCATTAGTTTAAAATAGAATCACAGATACACAGTATGTACCGTAGTATCTGTGATCGGATTTACAAAAAAAACAAAAAACAAACGGATTAAGGCATGACAATACGATTGCTTAATTCCGGTAAATTGCGTGAAGCAAAGATACATATAACGCGTCATAACGCAGGCAATGGTGCGAACGATTGTGGTTGCTTTTTACAGTGGCTTAATCTTATGTAAAATACCTACAACATGATAATGTCACTTTTAGTCAATACTCACATGACAACTAACAACATTTCAAATGTTTAAGATCCTACAGAACATGAATATTCCTTAATGTACTGTATTTTGTTACGGCAGATGGCAACATTACCATTGAGTAGAAAAGCTGAAGCATTAAATGCAAGTACAGCCTATCAACGTTGTCGTGTTACTATGCATTATTATACAACATCATAAGACTGTATGAATACTATTAGGCCTATATCATGTATATTTATATACATGTACTGTGCACAGGGTCTATCATTTAAATTTAACATTGTATGTTCGTTTCTTGAAAAAAAAAATCGTATGCCTATAACTATAAAAACAATATAATTTATAATAAATGCTTGCGGTACACCACGTGATAGTTCTGAAAAGAACTGTTGTTGTTGGTTGAGAATATCTCGACGTTTCGGTTGACTTGCTTCAACCGTCTTCAGGAGAATAATATCTGCAGAGATCTCAAACAGGGAAATACTTATATGTTTGAGTGATAAGACTTGCTGCTGATTGGTAGAAAACTAAACAAAGGCTGAGCCTACCAGTGAAAAGCTATACAAAAGCTAATAGTCCAGCAAACTTTGGTTGGTTGCATTTTTTTTTGCTATATTTTTTAAAAATTGGATATGATGTAGAGTAGACATACGGTAAAAAAGTATGTGCAACATTTTTTTTTTCATACGTAAGGGGGGTTGCCAGCCGTTTCAAAATGGCCGCCATTTTTTCCTAAAATTGTCACTAATATTGTAAATTTATGTCATTAAAATGCAGTATTCAATTGGAAATCCACTGATAACAATGACAGAAACAGTTAACTAAATATTGTACACATTTTTGAGCTATTACAATTTAAAATGGCTTCCATTTTCCATTATTTTAGATTTTTTCATACATATTAATATAATAATAACCGACCTGTACAAAAACTGTGATAGAGCTAGATTTCTGGATGAATAACAGAATCCTGGCTCCATGTATTGGCCTGCAGATGTGCATGCATTATATGCTGATATAAGGCTCCAGCAGTTGGTGGCAGCTTATCTACACCTTGATTGTTTGGCAGAGTTTTGAATCTTTTCCATCGTAAAATTGAGGCACTATTAGCAGATACTTTCTTCGTTCAGAGAAGACTACACAAAAACTCCTTGCATCACATTCTCACATTAAATGATCCCAAGCTTGGCCAAAGCATGTAAACATGAGGTGGTGATTTCATAAACATCTTAAGACATTTTCCAGGAATTTGATTTCCATACCTTGCGAACCAGGCCCGTAGCCAGGGGGGGGGGGGGTTTATGGTTCGGGAGAACCCTCCTTTTCTAGCAAACCTCCCTCATTTCTGGCGAACCCCCCTCTTCAGATTTCCCAAATAAGTCCTCCAACCCACCTGGTGCACTGCAGACGCACCCAGACAAAGACCTTTTCAAACATATCTGCTTTTATAGCATTATTTAGACCCATAAAGCACAAAAATCCCAATCCCCTTGCTTTGGGGGTTTCGCCGACCCCACCGGGGCTTTGACCGTGGACTACGCCCAGAAAACCCCCCTTGAAAGAACCTGGCTACGGGCCTAAAATTTTTTATCACAACCGGTGATAGCATGGAAGCCTGGTAGTGTCACTGCTCTTTCTGGTCCAAGATGATCGTATATTGGCTGAAGAGCCACTCTTCTTCTGGTTTCAGCGGTCACAATTCACACGGCAAGATGTCAAAACAAACACCCCCGAGCATCCTCCAACAACAGCTGTAAGCACACAAGAAGAAGCTGATACTCTAATGATTCTCCATGGCATAAAAGTGGCCTCTGAATCTGGAAATGATACAGACTGGTTTGTATTGATCTTCAGAAGACTTCCACAGCTTGGCATGAATACTGGAATTTGTGCAGTCTTCTCGTGACGAAGAAAGTATCTGCTAAAGATGCCTCAACTTTACGATGGAAAAGATTCAAAACTCTGCCAAACAATCAAGGTGTAGATAAGCTGCCACCAACTGCAGGAGCCTTATATCAGCATATCATGCGTGTACATCTGCAGGCCAATATATGGAGCCAGGATACTGTTATTCATCCAGAAATCCCTGATCCATGCAAACTGGGCTGGGTTATGGAAGATGGTAAATTGAGACCTGTCTTGTCAGAAAAGCAGTACCTCTATCACACGTTTTTGTTTTACAGTACAGATCGGTTATTATTATATTAATATGTATGCTAAAATAATGGAAAATGGCAGCCATTTTAAATTGTAATAGCTCAAAAATGTGTACAATATTTAGTTTTTTTGTCATTGTTATGAGTGAATTTCCAATTGAATGCTGCATTTTAATAACATAAACATACAATATTAGTGACAATTTTAGGAAAAAATGGCGGCCATTTTGAAACTGCTGGCAACCCCCCCTTACGTATGAAAAAAAAAATGTTGCACATACTTTTTTGATTTATCAATGTCAACTCTACATCATATCCAATTTTTAACAAATATAGCAAAAAAAAAATGCAACCTCTGATATTGCTACATTTCGGACTGGACTATAAAATTCACGGTCTGAATAGAAGGGCGGGGCGTGGCTAGAAAGCCAAGACAGTGGCATTGTTCTAGCAGGGGGAAGGAAAGCCAAAAACAATGGCATAGTTTCCAGTGTAGAGGGAAATATTTGGCGGGAAAAATTTGGTTTAGGTCTGGTTTAGTCGTGTATGTTCAGATTTATCCCAACATACACGATGTTGTTGTGTGTGGGAGTGCATGACTATAGATGACTTCTGTTGTTCCCCTCTCCTGGCATGGCCTTGGTGTTCCTTGAGCCTGGTACGGAGATCACGACCTGTTACACCAATGCAAGCCTTTCCGCATTCGCATGGTATCCGATAAACTCCTGGCTGGCTATTTGCTGGTGGCTTATCCTTGTGAGTTTGAAGAGTCCTTGATAGTTTGTTGGGTGCACTATGAAAAACTTTAATATCGGCTAGTTATAGAATGCGTTGAATACGGTGAGAAAGCTGTCCCAAAAATGGTAAACATACAGACTTTCTAGGTTCCGTGTCATCTTGGCTATTGCTGCGTTTGTGTATTTTCAAATCTCTCATGTGATAACCGTTGAGTTTCAGGGCTTCCTTTACATGTTGCATCTCTTTCTGGATGGAATTGCGGTCACTGATGCTTTGTGCTCTTCTGATAAGTGTGTTGCAAACTCCTTTCTTGGTAGATGGGTGGTGAAACGAGCGTTTATTCAAATATCTGTTGGTATGAGTTGGTTTGCGGTAGACTGAATGCGATAAAATGCCTGAGTTCTGCCTGGTGACCAAAACATCAAGGAAAGGTAAAGAGCGATTGTGTTCCTCTTCCATGGTAAACAAGATAGCACCGTGCTGAGAGTTCAGGTGGTCTAGAAGACTATCTAGGTGCACCTTACTGTGCTGCCAAATGATAAATGTGTCATCGACGTATCGTAGCCAAAGTTTGGGTTGTCGGGTGGCGGAATGAATAGCCAGCTGTTCGAATTCTTCGAGGAAGATGTTGGCAATGACTGGGGATAAAGGAGATCCCAGTCATATATAATTATATCATATTATATCATATATAGGCACTTTTATTTATCCTTGATTTATATAAATAATATATTTTAGACTGTACTTTGGCCTTCTATACCATTACTGAGTGCATACAAACAGAAGAATGTGCAATATATAAAATAGACCTTTCTGTAAGCTGTTAGCTATGTCCAATACATAGAGCCTAACATTTTCAATCCTAGTCCACACTAGAAATTAACATTGGCTGTTAGGCTGTCCATACTATAACATTTATTGTGACAACTACAATTGGGCATGATATGACAATTCCAATGACTTCAGACCCGTTAAGTAAACTGTTACCAGATATACTTATGTTCTCCACACTCTTTCATAATAGTCTGGTTACTAAAACAAAATTCATTATTCTGGTTACTGTTAATGTCTACCAGTGTGAAATGCATGTAGAGGGCCTACTTTGATTTTTTTCCACTACCCTGAGTGATAAACATTACGAGATAATTATTTTTTTATATGCGCTCATATTTCATTCAAATTATAATACTTCCGTATTATTTTGTGTAACCTATTACTATAGCAACAACGTACACATATATGATTTTATTGCCCTACTTATTGCGATTTAAAATTAAGTCTTTGCACGACTTCATTATGTCTTAATATTTTTAAGTTTTCAACGACAACATCCAAATCAATTCTATTATTTATACAAGCTCGACACAAAACATCACATAATAGTCAATTGTAGGTATAATTTTGACACACGATATAAGGAGAGATTAGTAATTGCTTTATACAGAATGAGACTTAGGCCTAATTGTGAAAATACTTATCAAGAGTGTGTATGTATACCATTCCACGCTTTGGTTGCTACATACCGTGGTGACATGCTATAAATAATTCATACTTTGAAGGTTCGAAATCCGTTCATTTTCGAAGTTGATTGTGCGTGGAACATCAGTGCATTCAAGAATACACTGTTTTTAATATATAATTTAAGATGGTTAAACCCTTGAGCTATCATGGAAAAAAAAGAGATGACTTTAATCTAGGCCCATCCGCAAGTGAAATGGCACGCAATCATAATAATAATAATAATAAATCTACAGTATCATAAATATTCGTTGATTTACTAATTTACATCGTTACTGCTTGTAATTGTCTTCGCAATGTGATTTTATTTCTCTAAATATCTTGATCGCTTGCTAACTTATTGGAGAAACAGAATGATTGAAAATAGGAACGAATATAATTAGATTGCAACATAATAAGTTCTCAAACTCCATGAACAATAGAAACAGTTCGTAATACAAAAATAATCAGATAGATGAAAACACATACTCGGACTCGGTAAATTTGACAATTAGTATTGTCAAAATGCTTTTGAAAATGTTCTCATAGATCATTATGCTAATTATTTAAAATTTTCACAAGAAACTTCATAGACACGAGTTATTTGATGTTGCTTTACTAAAGAAATTGACGTGGAAGACAATAAGAGTAATACAATACAAACAAAAAAAAAGAACGAAAAAAAAACAAAAAAAAACAAAAAAACATGTAGATCTACAGACAGAAAAATACCGTAATTTGCAAAAATACAATTTTATTACAGAGTTATTTCAAAAATGTGCGCATTGTATTTCTAATGTGTAGGTCATGCATAGCCTGTCGAACAGACCGTAGGTAGTTAAAATCATCTAATGTCCCCTTTATGTGAGCAGAAATAAAATTATGAATTATGGATGCAAAAAAAAAAACAAGATAACGAATGATGCCATGAACATTTATGCATGTCAAACCACATGTTGAAAGCAGCTGTGGCTATTTTATGGTAGAATATTACTTTTTAGTACTGCCGTATATGTAAGGAACGGTCGTTAATGAATTTTACACACACGTGTGCATATTAGTTATCAACGAAGCTTCTGATGCACAGTCATACATGTGTTTGTTTTCCACTTAAGATCCATTATCACATGAGTCGGTCATCTAATGTTTGCCGTCATCTACCCCTGATTGTGGTCTGTCATTCGTTGTTAAGTTTGGTTGTTATAGTTGTCATTGGTCATTCTTGATTAACGTCGTCATTTACATTCAATCCAATGCAATCGGTGATTGCTGGCTATTTGGTAATTTCATATTTTCGCCCGTCATCTTGCGCTATCGTCATTCATTTATTTCCAGTCGTTCTTGACTACTTTGACTATTATTATTATTATCATCATCATCACTAGTCTCGGTCTGTCACATTGTGTCCATTCGTTCATCACCTTGGTAATTCCATGGAGGAATTAACTAATTCCTCCGTGGTAATACCCTCGGGCTTATTGTGCTGTTGGTCATCGTATAATTGTCATGTCGGTCATTACTGGTTATTGACCGGCTATTTATCAACGAGCTTATGATTATTGTCGATCATCCATGGCTATCCTCGATTATCCCTGGTTATCGTCGGTCATTCCTCAGTCATTTTTAGTTTAGTGTCAATAATCAGTGTTTATCATCCCTGGTTAAGTCGATTATCCTTAGGTACTTTATAAGCTCTGGTAATCGCCGTTAATATTGGTTATTTCCAATCATTGGCGTCACTCTTCTTACGCTATCACGGATATTCTATATACTTCTTGTCGGTTATCGCTGGTAATTATTGGTTACTGTTATCCAACCATTAAATAGGCATATGCCTACCTTTTTTGTTTATGTGTGATCGAATTGTGTATTTCTAATTTCTATTTCAATCTCATTTGTTTTGTATTGAACTTAGATATGAACATTGTGTGAAAAATAAAAGGAAATGATTGTTTGCCTGCTTGCTTGATTGATTGNNNTCTGATTACTATAGACCATCAGCGATCCAATCTCGATACCGTCGATCCTCGTAGCTCGTCGTCGAACTCTGTCATCCAATGCCTCTCCAAATACCATTAGTTTGTGAATCGCCATGTTTTATAATCAATCTGTTTATACTACCGGTAGTCTATGCCTTCATACTGTAGGGTATCGTATAATCGTTGCCATTTTCTATTACTAATGCATGTAGAAATTATAATCATTGGCTGATATCTTTGTAGTCAAATAATAACATTAAAGCAATTTAATTAATTTCAATTATTTGTAAGGATTGACAAACAAAACAAAAAAAATGTTTTGTCAGGCGAATTGCAAATACGGTTGACCTACAAGTGCTCAGTGCCATCAGCGCTATTATGTTGATAAAAGGAATTGGTTAATTATATTTCTGGTAATAACTCTTGTGCCGGTACGCAGGGATGTCACTTTAATTATTTGAATAACGATAGCTTATATCAATTACATTGATTAGTGTTCCTTGGTTTTCGTTTATCAAGCTTGCCTTTATTGTCGTAAATACTGCAGTATCTGAATGCAATCATTTTAACAATACCGTTGACATTCCAAGTATCTTAAAGTTTAGCATATAAGTCTATAATATCATTCTTTGTGGCTATAAATACTGTAGGATTTGCACGTAGTTTAAATCAGTACGGGCATAATCCTGTGTGATTTGCAATTTAGTATGACAATTATTTTGTAATAAGGCGCCTGGCACATATACTTGGATATGGAAATCATTTATGCGAGCGGCTTTACGAGATTAGTTCCATTACCCATATGACGTATTTAAAGCTTAGCAGGGATGCCTCCATAATCTTAATAATAATTTCAAATTCAGAAATGCATTCTTTTACGACCATTTTTCTGGATCAAAACTGAATAAACAACGAATAGAAACTATGTTGCATATAGATACTTAGAGCCATGGTCAGAAACTGATAGAGGAAGTAAAAGAGATAGGTACGCCATAACTATACTCCCTGCTACAAAAGAAAATCTGTAAAAATAATCGTGTTTGATTCATCATTTTTTGTATGTATGATCTTATTAGTTTATATGGTTATTGTAAAAATGAGGTTAAATTTAAAAAATGTTATTTATTTTTAAAACGTGATAAACAATATTGTGCTTGATTGTACATATTTAATTTTGCTTATTAGCTAAATCCTTAAATATGCATAAACCTATAATTCTCATAGTACAACCAGCATCACCCCCAAAACAAAACATGTTAAATTAATCAGCAGGCTGTAGTGCCGACTAAACTTAGGCCTGCAGCAGTTACGGTACCCAATGGAACTAGAAAATAAAATAACTAGGTCTCCGTCATCGGCCCAACCCTTCGTCATCGGTCCATCTTAGATCACATACATTTCACTCATCGCCGCAACATGATCTGCTAATTACTACAATTTACCAAGTCAATGCCTAGATTCTATGGATTCAATTCAATTAAGTTTACATTTGCTCAACAGCATCTCCACATTGCGCAAGCCTAATCAATATTTAAGACACATCAATTGCCGAAAAGTTCACAGTTATGTTTCACCATTTGTTTATGCATACAGTTAAACAAAACTTAAATGGTAAAAATATAATTTGAAAATTTACTTTTAGTGGTTAAAATGTCATGGACACTAACATTTTCTCATGATTTCAACTGTTCGCAATATTTGTGTATTACATACTTTTTATCGGCGTTCAGCACATGCACTCTTTTATACTTCAACGTTTTATTTTATCTGGCGTTCTACTAGGAAGTGTCTTTAACTGTTTTCTTTGCAACCTTTAAGTACAGTAGGAATGCTGTATTGGAATACAACTGGATACATCAAACAAGACGACTAGATCGTCGAAAGAGGTTCAAATTATATAAAGTGCTTAGAAGCCTGGCGCTCAAATATCTCTCCGAAACTGAATACCGAGGAAATACACATCGATTTCATGAAATGAAAAGTTGACCCAGAGGCGGTAACTGTCACAAATAAAGTGATTGAGACGTTGCTTAAGAAGATAAATATCTAGCCAATCTTTGGTTGTACACTTAATTGGAACGCAAACTCATACACTGTACAAAAAGACAAACAAGCGTCTCTATTCTTACAAACATTCAAATCCCTTCTAGGTTTGCAATGAAGAATAGGTTAATGTTTTTAGAGTGTTGCTCTCGAAGGGAGTGCATTTTTGGTGTACAAATCTATCTCACTGATTCTAAAAGGATGGTTTAAGAGTTAACACTTTTAGTACGATTAATTACTAATTATGGTAAGATTTTCATAATTTACGGACAGGGTCAGAACCCGGCCGGTGTGCGCAATTGGGTATACCCAATCACAAGTGACAGTGACGATATTACTGACATTAAGCAGTGTTGAAGCCAGCGGATTTTTTTAAAACTGGAGTTTTTTGTTTAACAATTATAGAAGAAAAATATCTAAAGATATACGCCTATTCTTACATGAAATTAACAAGTCTTTTCTTTTGTATGCTTTCTATTTTTCGCAAAAAAATGCTTATTTCCCTATTTTTTGTCTACCTGTAGTTAATTCAATGATATATCTTGAACTCATTAATTTTTAATTCGTTCTTTGAAACTCACTACCGCGCAAGTGACAATTAGATTTTACCTGAACTGCATGCCAAATAACATAATAATTATCATATTTCTGCATTTCTGTTTTACGGACCTAATTATGAATTTTTAGATTTTGTTGAAAATGATTGCTTCAAATGTCAGGAATAACCTCTTGAACCAACATTTAAAAAACTTGCCGTGTGTGTTTAAGCAGCGCATGAGAAGAGGTTATCACAGGCCAGTGCGATAGCTTTTCAATGTACAGTACTTTAACAATGTTTCAAATAAACTTTACAAGATACTTGAACAAATTTCGTCCTTAATGCACTATCTCTATCACAATAGCATATATAGCAGGCTCTCGAGTGCATTTCAAACATGTCTTAACTTTCCTTCATCAGCAACTATTAAAAATGACAAATACGTGACCTATTCATCCATGTTGTGTATGTATAATACTCTTGTCGTTTATCAATGTTTTTTAATTTGTGGCCTACAGTCTCTTGTCTCCAAAAAATAATAAAAATTACATAAGATCTTTGTAATCTAGCTAGGTCAAAAGATAATAATTGATGCAAACATTATTAAAATGGATAATAAATGGCGAAGATATGATAATATTTTTAGTCCAACATGCACTAATACTGTGTATAGGAATTTTAACTGTTGATTTGAAGACTCGTTTTTGACGACAAGGTTTTACCAGAGTCCGTTACATATAACAAAATAGTCGGTATTAAGGTATCGTATTTAGGTGCGCTCATGATGTCAATCAAGATACAGAAAAAAAACAAGAAAAATTAAATATAATAACGAAACATAAAACGAGAAAATGACAGGACTTTTAGTCTGAAACACTTTCTGCAGATTTGATGTTATATTTTATTATATATTATTTTTGTATTTTATTTGACGTTTTATTGTTTTAGAAGCATCAGCAGGTGGGAAAACGTCGGCATGATAAGCTGATTTAGCTTATTCTTACCGTTTATATGTTATAATTAATAAATCTAAGTTTTCGTCAGCATCCAAATATTTTATCGACGATCAATAATTCTATGCCAATTTTTTTTTTTTTTTTCAAATAGCATTCGGTAGCTGTTTTTTCTCGTCACTTACTGCACACCATGAGAATGACTAATGTGGTGTGGAGCTCCCTCTATCGACAATACTACTCCCGGGTCGTGAAATCACTTATGTCAAGTATGAAGTAGCTACGGCCTTTGCTTGCAAAACAGTTTGTCTAATAATGATATCTAACTAATATTGAAATTTAAGGGACTCTCTATGAATTCTGAATACGTCGAAATATAAATTGGGTTTATATTAATAATACTAGTCCAAAGATCGAATCGTTTAAAGATTATAAGAAAATCTTAATATATTGCAGCTTCCAATGTCATACACAATCAAATCTCCATCAATAATATTAGAACAGGCTCATGTCAGTTATTCTTTAATGACACATGCTACTTTATCAATATCAGCTTACTGTTATTTTACGTAATCTAATAACATAATTTAAGGTATAATATGAAAACTTTTTTTATTTTAGTCACGCTTCGGATCGGCTACTTGAAAGAAATTTTATAGTTCGGAAAAAAAATCGGATTTATTGTGTAAAATTATTACGAAAAGTGCAGTCATCCGTAGGCATGACTGGTCAAAGCTGCCATTGCCGCTTTCGTTAATTCCGTATGTCACGCCTGTAAAGTACTTTTGATTTTCAGAATAATTTATATTTGCGTGAGTCGACAGTAGGTTACAGTCATCTGTGTGTCTAGAGTACGTGTTCTTGGTGATAAATGAGCTTTAAGTTTAGACTATATCTCTATAATACCATTGATACTTCTGCTGTTAGTTGTATAAAATATGTGTTTGGGAAATAATACTCTACTTTTTAAGATAAGGGAATTAATAAACAATATAGGCCTACTTTGAATAAAAATAATCATCGTGTTAAATCACAGACGGGCAAAATGGGACTCGTGGGCCATAAGCATTATGATGGCAATTTTGTTGCTGTCCGCTATACTTTGCTTCCCACGTACTATATTTAGGCCCACTATCTTTGGTTTGAAAGCCCTTGCTTTTCCGGCCGGCCCGATGTCGATCATCAGTAAAAAGTATTATTAAAACTGACCAGTATCTGCAAACATATTTTGGTGCGGCCCTCATCTGTTCCAAAAATAGAGCACTCTTTCTATCATTTACTCATTAAACTGTTTGTTTATATTTATATACTGTATGCTCAGTGCTACGAAGCATTACTATGATTGAAATATGTTGATTTACTACAATTTCTACCCTGAGTTTTGAGCGGATGCATGGGGGGAGGGGTGCAGACCGTGCAATCGCACCTCCTAAATTGTATTAAGAAAAGTAATTGTTGTATTGACATTGTTGATATGAATTACCGGTAAGATTTTTAAGGTATGAGAGTGCAACAGGTCTTTAATGGAGTGGGTAGCCTAATTGTAGACCTGAGCTTAAAACTTTTTTAAACACACTTTGA